CGTCTTGGGGGCCCCCTGGACAGTCGAGGGCCCCTCTTGAGCCGTCTTGGAGGCCTCTTGGAACTCTCTTTGGCCGTCTTGTGGCGATCTGGTCGGCTGGGGCCGTCTTCGACGCGGTCGACGCCGAAGCGGCGAAAATCATAAAAAATATACATTTTCCAATGGGGCAATTTTTGCTTCTGGAGGCACTCTTGGGAGTCTTCTTGGGGGACTCTTGGGCCGTCGTGGGGGCTCCCGAAGGCCGTCTTGGAGCCATCATCGGCGTGTTGGAGCGACAATTTGGAGATTCTGGGCCCTCGTGGACGTTTGGAGACTTCCTGGGACTCTCGGGTGGCGTTTCGGGGCTGTGTGGGTCTCCCAGAAGCCCCCAGGGGCCTTTTGGGACAGTCTTGGGGCCTCCTGGACAGTCGAGGGCCCCTCTTGAGCCGTCTTGGAGGCCTCTTGGGACTCTCTTTGGCCGTCCTGGGGCGATCTGGTCGGCTCCTGGGGCCGTCTTCGACGCGGTCGACGCCGAAGCGGTGAACATCATAAAAATGCACGTTTTCCGTAGAAAATGGGGCCATTCTTGCTTCTGGAGGTGCTCTTGGGAGTCCTCTTGGGGGACTCGTGGGCCGTCGTGGGGGTTCCCAGAGGCCGTCTTGGCGGCCTCTGCGGAAAAGTGCCTGGGGCTGCCGCGCAGCGTGGGGAAGCAGAACAGGCTGCATGGGGAGCAACGTAGAAAAAACTATGGGGAAACCAAGTGTGTGAGCTTTGGGGAGCTCTCCTGGAGGCCTGTAGGAGGCCTCTGGGAGACCTGGGGCACCAGGCGGGAGCAGCCCCTGGAGCTCCCTGCAACCTCTTGGGGCTCTGGTGGCGCCGGGCCGCCGAAACCTTGCAAAAACACAGGGAAATGAGGGCCCGAACCCACAATGCGCCGCCGAGGTCCCTGGGCAGGACCCGCCCAGCCACGTCCCCTAGGGTTCTGGTGGCTCCGGGTGGCCGAAACCTCTTAAAAACAAAAAGAAAATAAGGCCCCGTGCCCCCCATGCCCCGTCGAGGTCCCTGTGCGGGGCCCCCCGGCTACGTCCCCCGGTGGCTCTGGGCGGCCGAAACCTCATATAAAAACAAAGAAAAGAAGGCCCTGGGCCCCCCAAACCCCGCCGAGATCCCTGGGCGGGACCTTCCCGGCCACGTCCCTCGGTGAAAACACGGCTGGCCGCGCCAACAGACCCAGAAGAGTGATCCGTCCCCCCTGAGTGACCCTCGCCATGCCTCCCCCTCTCCGAGGCCGTCTGCTGTCCCTTTGTCCCGCTCTTGCATCTTGGCCAACTCGATACAACGCTGCCCCCGTTTAGTTAGCTCTTCCACCAGCGCAGACGACCCCTGCCTAGCCGCCGACGCAAAAAGTGTTGCTTCCAGTTGACGCGAGCCCGTCACAAGAAGGCTGTCAGATCGCCCAGGATGCTCCTGAGCGGGCCCAAGACGGCTCAAGATGGCTTCCAATACGCACTGGAGAGCCTGGTATTCTCTCGTTGGAGCCTCGCTGGAGGTCTGCGGTCACAGACACCTCCAGATGCTCAGACGAAGGGCAAGAGCGCCCAAACAAGTTGTAACTTGATTCTCCTGCTCCCGCCTCCGTCCGTCCTCCCGACCCACTCTGAGGTCCACTCTGCTTTGCTTTCCAAACCTTTGCGATTTTCTGGCAGTGCGGCAGCCCGAAAGGGAGTCCAAAGGACAAAACAGAGGAGACGAATCAGAAGATCGACAGTCGACGGAAACCCTTTGCGATTCTCTGACTGACTTCCTCCTGCTCCAAAGTCAATTTGGGGGTTACCCTGGTCAGGATTTCGCGGTGCGCCCAGCTGCGGCGATGAGAACTTCCAGAAAGGCGCAAAACTCTCCGAAACGCAGACGGCGATCCCCGATCCTCCATCTGCCCTCTCCTCCACATCCTCGTCCTCCTCCTCCTCCTCGTTCTCCTCCTCCTGCACCTCCTCCTCCTCCTCCTCCTGCTCCTCCTCCTCCTCCTCCTCCTGCTGGGAGGCGGAGAGAGGAAGGCGTGAAAGAGAGACAAGGAGGAGGGAAAAGGGAACATGTGGCAGCGGGGAAGAGAGAGGAGTCGAGAAAGGAGAAGAACGTGGAGCTGGAGACACACGAGAAACAATAACAAAAAAGAGATCAAGGTGAACGAACAACGAAGGATGGGGAAAACGGAAACGCAGTCGGGGGCGCGCCAAAGCCTGGAACAGGAGGAAACGAAGTGGATGATAGACCTGGACAAACTTACCCTGCGACGTACCCAACCCTTTCTACACACGTGGCGACGATACACAGGACCGATCAATACAAACGAACATGTTGAAGGACCCGCAGGAGCCCACGAAAGTGGCGACAGATGCGCACTTCGCAGCCACCCAGGGAGCTCGGAGGTCTGGGCTGGGTGTGTTTACAATTCCACTCCGCTGGGGCCTCCCAAAAGCCCCAAGGGGGTGTGCCGAAATGAGGCGGCGACGCCATGCGGACCCTGACAATGGGGCAGTAGGTCGAGTTTCCTATGGGGACACGAAAAGTGTGTGAGAGAGAGAGAGAACTACTGAGGGCAGAGGCAAGGATGGGAGGAGGGGGGAGAAGGAAGGACGCGGGGCGCTGTATCTTCAAAACGAGAACCCAACTCAATCAGCAATGGTTGGGAACAAAAGCGATCACACATTTGCCCTACAAAAAAACCTAACCATATGGAGCTGTGAGCAGCGTCATTGTATGCACTATATTCGGAGGAGCTCCCTATAGAGCCACGAAACGCGTAAAAGGTGTGCCAAAACGGGCGCGGTGGGAGCATGCGAACGCGGCCACTGGGGCCGTCCGAGGAGAGGTGCGGCGGGCGCATGAGAACGCGGCCACGAGTCCCGTCGGTGGAGCTACCTATGGGGCCACAGAACGTGTGAGCGGTGTGCCAAAATGGGCGCGGTTGGCGCATGCGGACGCAGCCACTGGGGCCGTCGGTTGAACCCCCTTATGGGGCCACGAAGCGTGTGAGGGGTGTGCCAAAAATTGGCGCGGTGGGCGCATGCGAGAAGCAGCCACTGGGGCCGTCGGTGGAGCGCCTTATGGGGCCACGAAACGTGTCAAGGGTGTGCCAAATCGGGCGCGGTGGACGCACGCGAACGCAGCCCTGGGCCGTCGGTGGAGCTACTCATGGGGCCACGGAACGTGTGAGCGGTGTGCCAAAATGGGCGCGGAGGGCACATGCGAACGCAGCCACTGGGGCCGTCGGTGGAGCGCCCTATGTGGCCACGAAACGTGTAAGGGGTGTGCCAAAATGCGTGCGGTGGGCGCATGCGAACGCAGTCCGGAGCTCCCCATGGGGCCATGAAACGTGTGAGGGGTGGGCCACAATGGGTGTGGTGGACGCATGCAAACGCAGCCACTGGGGCCGTCGGTGGAGCCCCCATCAGGCCACGAAGCGTGTGAGGGGTATGCCAAAACGGGTGCGGCGGGCGCTTGCGAACTTTGCCAGTTGGGCCTTCGGTTGCGCCCCCCATGGGGCCACGAAACGCGTGAGAGGTGAGCCCAAACAGAATCATGTGGAGGGCATAGGCAAGGAGAGGGAGGTGGGAGGGGGGCCAGGAGGAGGAAGGGAGGACGCAGGGCGCTGTGATTTCAGAACGAAGACCCAGCACCACGAAATGGCTGGGAAAAACGCTACCAAAAATACGGCAGGCGATAACGGCGGTGCCCCGTGGACCCGGGAGGCAGAAGCACGGCCAAGCGCGCCCAGGGCCGAAGGGTGCAGGGGCCCCTGCCCAGCATCGCCGATGCATCCGCGACGTCAACGATGCATTGGCGACGTCGGCGCGGAAAAATCGCCCCCCCACCTACTTCGACCCCATGTGGGCGGCCTGGAGCCTGGAGCTCAGGACCTGGAGAAGACTGGCTCGCCCAGCCCCCGCACCTCTTGGCCGCCCAGCCCCCCATGCAGGGGGGCGGCTCCCTTCTGGACTGTGGGGGCGCTGGCCCGCCAGGCGCGACAGCCCTCTCGCCCCTCTGCGGGTGACCCAGGTGCTCCCCTTCCTGGATACACGGTGACAGTGCCGACGAGGGCCTCCCAGGAGGCCCGAAAAGGCGGTAACGAGGCAAGGCTAGCGACGTCGGTACCTTTTCCTCCTCTGGTCCTCCCCTTGGGAGGTCGGTCCCACAATCGTGTGGTGACATACCGTGTGGTGACCTCGAAATCCCAGAAGACCTCACCGCACGGCCCGTCCCCACATGGCTTGGGGGTTCTAGCGGCCCCGTTGGCCCCAGACCTCCCCAGGGAACGACCCGAATGCCAAAACCGTGCGGTGACCCCGAATCACCCCTGACTCACCACGTGGCGTGGTCACCACACTGTTTAGGGGGCCCCCGATCCGTTGGCCGAGCAGGCGCTGCCCCACCAGGTGAACACTTCGGGGGAGAGGGAGGAAAACAAAACGAGGAGGAGGAGGAGGAGGAGGCGGGGGAGGAGGCGCAGAGCGGCTGGACTCCTGCGCCCGACGCACTGTTTCGCCACCAGCCTCCAACACCCTAAATAGCGAAGCTGTAGGGATGCTTCGAGAGATAAATTGTGTGGTCGTGTGTGTGGCGTGTGCGCGTTCATGGGGACCCTCTGGGCCTGGGCTTCTCTGGCTGTTGAGAGTCTCTTGACTCTTGATGCTCAAGGAATGGTGTTCCTGATCTCATCCCTCTCCCACCTCCCTCGCCTCCCAGGCCGTGGGAGTGCCCGCTCTGGGGAGGCGTAGCTGGAGGCTTGGGGAGGAACAGCTGGACAAGGCTTCGACGGCGCCTACTCTCCGTTTCCCTCTTGTCCTCCCAACTCTCGGCTCTCCTTCTTCTCCTGAGGCGCTGTCCTAGTGTCTTACGCCTCTCATGTGGGCCTCTCCGGCGCATCGGGGGGGCCGCCTCGCCCCCCCCCGAGAAGGCCGCCCGAGGCGCCGCCGCCCGAGGCGCCGCCGCCCGAGGGGCCGCCGCGAGAGGGCGGTCGCCGCGAGGAGCAGCGCGCGGGCGTGGGGCGCCGGCAGGTGCAGGCAGCGGGCCAAGCGCGGCCACAGGTGCCTGCGGGCGGCATGCTCCTCACTCCTCGCTCTTCCTCGCTCCTCCTCCTCCTCCTCCTCAGACCTCCTCCTCCTCCTCCCCCTCCTTCTCCTCCTCCTCCTCCTCCTCCTCCTAGTCGCCGCGAGGGGCCCAAACATTGACCGACCGTGCCCACTCGCAAGAGTGATAGACTCCGGCTTGCACGAGGCCCCCCTAAGGATAGACGACGGCCAAAGAGGAGGGGGGAGATCTCACGCGCACGCCATGAGACCGCCCCGCAACCGACAGTGGCAGAAGATGAAGGTTGTCGCGAAAAACCTTTACGCAGGCAGTGCATCATAACGACTAGGTGATATTAGTTGTATGCTCAGGGGCGCGGGCATTGTGCTGCTGAGTGGAACACACGAGTGGACAGGAGCAGAAGCGACAAAATTACCCCAGTGCGACCCTACCTAGGAGTTGGAGCCCTCAGGGAAGCAGCATTACTAGTAACGGTAAACGCCATCCTCCTCCTTCTCCTCGTCGTCGTAGTTGCCTTTGCTTTTACTTGTGTTTGCTTTTGCTTGGTTTGTGTTTGTTTTGCCTTCGCACACACACGCATGTTTTTGCATTCGCTCACCGGGTGAGCTCTTTGATCGCACTGTTGCACATTGCTTGTGATTTGCCTTTCCTTTGCTTTGCTGTTGTGTTTGATGTGATTCGCTTTGCTGTGCGTTGCTTGTGCTTTGTTTTGCTGCTGCTGCTTTGCCTTTGCTTTGCTGCTATGATATGCTATGCTATGCTATGATATGCTGCACTATGCTATGCTATGATATGCTAAGCTATGCTGCGCTGTGCTGCGCTATGCTATGCTACGCTAGGCTGCGCTATGTTATGCTAGGCTATGGTATGCTATGATATGCTGCGCTATGCTATGCTATGATGTGTTATGCTGCGCTATGCTCTGCTATGCCATGCTATGCTATGCTATGCTATGCTATGCTGCGCTATGCTATGCTATGCTGGGCGATGGTATGATATGCTAAGCTAAGCTACAGCTACAGCTACAGTTAAGCGAAGCTAATATGAAGCTAAGCTAAGCTAAGCTAAACTAAGCTAAGATGAGATACGCAAAACTAGGGCGCAGCTGGGGGAACCGCGGGGCGGGGACCGGGGGAACCGCCGGGGCGGAGCCCACTGCCCCGCCCCTGTAAGCCCAGCGGGTAAGAACCGTCTAGGCAGAGCATAGGTAGTAAACAAATCGAACTACCACAGCATTGGTGTTTCAGGTTCGGAACTAGAAAGGGCAAGCTCACAAGTAAAGTGTGTGACACGAGCATGCTCGTTACAAAACGTCTCCCACCAGAAAACTTACAGCGTATTCTTCTCCCACCTACACAATTGCAGGGTCGTGCAGCGGGTGTGCTCATACAACAAATAATATAGATGTCGCTGTTTTTGCTGTATGCTTCGTCCCCACCCACTTCAAGAATCAATCTACCCTTGCAGACAGACCAGTACATTGGCTAGAGTACGAGTGTGACCGACTAGAATGCAGAACGACGCCGATAATGGGAGGGGATCTAAACACCAAGTTTGGTCTCCACAGGGCGCAGAATGGCATCATGCAGAGTAGTGTAGGACGACACATAGGTAATATCGCAACCAAGCCCGAAAACGAGAACGGCAGGGCAACACGACAAGTTAGTGCAAAAACTGGTTTGCTGTTGCCACTACCTTTACATATTTCGGGCCCCAGGGGAACGAGAGCCAAATCGACCGCATCATCATCCCCACAGGTGTGATAGACATAATTACGACCTGTAGCACGTTCAGAGGGGCAGGCAAACGACTCCAGTTAAGAAAAGAACAGATGGTTCAAGGATCACATACCCATCTCCATTTCCTCTCCACTTCACATAGGCCAGCGATTTCACCCAGTACGCCGCGGAGACGAGAAGGGAGTACACGGGGACAAGCTGATGGACTGTCTTCGGAAGGGGAAGAGGCGGCTTGCCTTCCTTGAGAAGATGGAGGAGGAGATGAGGGCAGTGGGAGAAGAGCAGTGGGAGGAGGCGAAGCAGAGGAGCACACCAGACGAAGCATGGCATTGTTCGGGGAAGCCACGAGGAAGGCACTCAGGGCGACCTTCGGTGGAAAACCAGACTACCTCGACGAAGACGGATTGGCAGTCCGACGGCAAAGGATGGAATTACCCAGCATGAGGAGAGGAAATAAGCACAGCTGCAGCCGGGAGTGACGGATGAGGTGGCGGCCAGTGTTCAAGAGCTTGCGATTGTGACGGCGCTGCTCATAAGACTGAGGGAGGATTTCCAGATGTAAAAGAAGGCGAATATTGTAGAGCATAGATTGGAAGCATATGAAGCAGGCAGCTTCGCGGAAATGCACAGTTTACGGGTTGCTTACAACGCCAACGGCAAGGGGGCCAAACAAGCGGTATTAATTTGCACCGAAGACCCACTGGACTGCGGCCACGTGACTGGACGAGCTCGGAAAACATCCGCACGAAAGAGACCTCGGAGGAGAAGCGATGTTCCCAGAGGAGGTAAGAAGAGAATACGAGGAGCATCGCAGTGACACTCTCCCACTGCCTCTTGATGGAGACATCCTCAACGCAGTAGAACAGGACAAACAAGCCATGCTACAACAATACTGTAAGAAGGCGAAGAAATTAATGGCCTGGCCTGCGGGGGGTCTCCCTATAGAGTGCACCTGGATGCTGCTGGACCCTCAAGCCCACCTAGAGAGCCCATCACAGGCCAGTGAACGAATCGAGCAACAAGCTATAGCAAGGGCTGAACAAGCGGAGGTCGAGGAGGAGCTAGCGAAGTACACGTCACCATGCAAACTTAAGAAAGGACGTGATCTGTTGCAGAGGATGGGAACAAGACAGGAACCAAGGGTGAACATTTGGACGGTACAGAGCTGTACCATGGAAATGTGCAGCCATACTACGTGGAAAGCGCAGAGCATACAGTGTTAGGGACAGCGACGCTACATGGGGCAGGAGGTTACAGACTTCAGGAAATGATTGACGACCCCTTGCGATTGTGTCGGGCTGTCCAAACAACGCCCCTCGATTGGCATCGGAGGATTGCATTCGACGCGGGAAAAATAACCACAAGCCAGGGATTGCAGGGAAAAGAAGTATGCTTGCGTATTGCAATTTCGGCACGAGCTGGCATTCAGGACTACCAGCCAGAGAAGACCGAGCAGAGCATCCATCGTGGGCGCAGGGAGGCATTGCACACCGCAGTAGGGATAATGCTGTACTGACAGCGCAGGCCACATAGTGGAGGGCCTCAGAGCCGGGATACAGTACCATACACGTCGGTCGGAAGAAGTAGGTAGGAGCATGAAGTACGAAGGCGGATAAAGTGGATTGGGTCCAGGCCCCCCCAGAGAATAATAAAACACAGCAAAAGCGTGTCGACTCTTGAAGTAGGAAGGCGCTGGAAATAGATTGGGATCTGGGAGTCCGAAAAAACCTACTTTCAACGACCGGCGTGTACCATACACTTCAACCACGATTGTGCAAACGCCTTTGCTAGCACTGGCCAACGACTGACGCAAGCAGCTGCCTGGAAGCACACGTGCGGCGCAGACAAACAGCACGCTATGGGGGCTGTCAACCATGCGTCTCTCACCATGCAAGCAGCCGACGGCCAAGTACACGTCACGACCACAACGGGAGCTCAAGTGGGGTTCACACTAGCGCCAGGACAATTCAACGATTGCTACAGTCTGTACGTCCAGCAATGGCACGAACAAGAACGACAAGACATCACGCAAACATTATATGACACACTGCACCCGATCTCGGGAGAGACACGCGACCTGGCTCTCAACACTTTCATGGACGACAGTACGAAGACACACATCGTCCCACCGTCTACCCCCCCTCCCCCTGGACATAGTGGAACACGTCAACTGTGCGACAGAACGACTAGATAACCAAACTCAAGATAAGTAACTGGTGCCTCAACCCGCAAAAGACCAACCATCTACTTTAACATACGAGGACCAGGCGCATTCGGTGTCACACGTTACCCACGTAAAATCAAAATGAATCAAGGGCACCACACGGAGAGAGATGAGAGTGCTAGGCCTGCGTCCGCCCAGCGAGCAAGGACTGGGAGGAGAGATACCGCGAAGATGCGAAGCTACCAAGCTTGCCTGGAGACCCGGGGGCGCGTTCTAGTCCAGCAAAACACCAAAGCCGATAAAACGACTGATGTACACTGGTTTCGTGGCTGGCGCGGCCCTCAGTGGCCGTACGGCTGTTGTCCTCCCCGTACTTTTCACGAACGCCGTCGACGCTGCACTTGCAAAGTACATGCGAACGCTACCAGGAGGAGGCATGAGCTGGACGAGGGAAGATGGTACGGTGCGATGCTTTAATAACGACAGAGTGTTTGGAGAGTGGAAGATGGAGCGGAATGATACTGCATTGCGAGTGCGAAGGCTGCGATGGTATCAGAGGTGGGCACAATACCAACGGGATAACGGAGCAGTAATAGCAGCACTAGTTGAGGAGTCTGCATCATTTGTCAGAAAAGAAGAGGAGAACCAAAGATGGATGGATCACAGAATAATTAACGCCATGGGCACAACAATACAGTGATGACCTTACTGTCCTTGCGGCCGTAAGCGACGACATGCGACAATGGTATTACGACCGTACCTCCGACCTAAGCCTACTTACACCAGGCACACCATAATGGTACACATGGACATCGGCCGACCCCTCTATATTGCGCAGTGCAGCAGTGCATTGGAGTATGCAGGACGAGGAGGACGGGGAGGAGGATACCGCAGAGATGCTAGAACGATGCTGGTGTGACCACGCGTGTACAACGGAAACAGGGGAAGTCAAACTCTGGGGGAAAAAGTCTGCTACTGCAAAGGCCCTTGCGGGCCACAGGAGGGAGGTACACGACGCCCGACCGCTAGTGGCACAGCTAAAGATTACGAACCAGTGCCCGTGCTGCCTGAGTACGTTCAATAACCGACACACAGCT